AAAAGGCAGGCGGAGGTTCAGATGCTCTCGCGCAAAGCTGGCGACCTCCGTCCGTTCGGTGTCGATGAATAATTTACATCGTCAGGCAACTATTGAAGAATACGTTGACCTTGATGCTGACTACGGAGATGGGGATACAAGAGAGTCAGCGACCGCCTCGGGCTACCTTGCTTCGACAGGTATGGGCTCATATATTGCAGCATCCGGCAATAGCGTTGGTATTACATCCACAAGAGGTACAACATCCGCCGCGGGTGGTGCTTCTAGGACGCTAGAACTACCTGCTTCTCTTCGGTCTAGGATTCAACAACAAGTCGTGACGTCTCGAAAAGCCCCGAATGCACCTCACACTCTCGGCCGAAAAGCGGGAGGCATGGGCCCCCCTCTTACAATTCCGGATCGCCCACTGCTCAGGAAAAGTAGGAGTACAAACACCCTTCGATTACCAAAGCGTGACGAAGGAAGTAAACCTGGCTACTGTGAGAGTTGTCGCGTAAAGTTCGATGATTTCGACACGGTGAGATCGCATTTAATCTCGTACATAAGTATCCTAACGCTCGGTCCTTCAGCACACACAGGAACGGAGGCATCGTAAGTTTGCCATGGACGATGCAAACTACATCCAGCTTGATGCGGTTCTTAATCGCGTACGACGCCGGACCTGCCAAGAAGCCGAGGAAGAAGAGCGCATGTGGTCCGAATGCGGTTGTGACGGCGCGTCACGAAGTTCTGAGGTACCCGAGACGTTAGGGTCCTCACAGCCAGCTCAAGACGATGACGAGTCTATGTGGGATGAGGAAGATGCTGAGGGAGAGGTGGATCTTGATTTGTGAGTGTCATGGATCGACAATCTTTGGTCCTGTCCAAGATTTTTCTCGAATTCTTTGCATTTGGCTTTACTTCATTGATTTGTGTCACACCACACCACACAGCACTTGTAGCACTACTCTAGCATCTTCACTTGTCAATACTCGACAATGAGACGAGCAAAAGATCCCAAAGGAAAGAAAAAAGTGATATGATTCTCAATCGATCGTAACGGTCAACAACGTAATAATACCATCCTGAGCGATGCCTGACAGTGGCCATCAGACGAGCAACTACTGCATCGATCAACCGAACAAGCTCACCATGGTTAATTCCATCAGTGCCAGCTTCGAGTAGACCAGTGATGTTTTGGGCGATAGTGTGGTATTTGACCCCATGATACGTTGTTTGACCAACCGCTGCTGACACCAGCTGGTCGCTAAAACTGGATTGGTGACCCGTTCCTCACGATGAGTGTTACTTACCGTCCAATATTGTACCCATCTGGTACTATATCATGATGCTTTGATGCGGGCTAAGGGTGACGTTCAGACGTGTAACAAAGCCCTGCCGAACCACGCACCTCCTCTCGAGACACGCTGGCACATCAAGTAAGCTACTAGTAAGACAATTTAAGGATGCTTACGCTAGGAAGAGAGCGCCACTGTCCGCCGTTGTACCGTTCTGTACAAAAATACTGGACGAATATTGTCACTACGCTAGATCCCTCAGGCTAGTCAATAAATTTACCGAAAATGATTTCCTCCGACGAGGCTCTCCAAACACGTTCCGCCTCCTGCGTTTCCATAGTCCTGGCGGAGTTCAATGGTTTGATTGACCCATCCGTTTCCATCTCCCAAGTTGGCGGGCATATAACCGCCCAAGTGAAGGCCGAAACATTCTTTAGAACTATTACGAGCAAATAAGTAAGACGCAGTTCGCAATTCTTTCCGTGCTTACAATCCGATAGCACGGGCAAAATTGATAGCTCCGTCAAGTGTGAGAACAGCAGGAGAGCTAAGACCAGAGATTATGACCTAAATTTTCGGGCCAGTCAAGTTATACGAGGGTGTCACGGTGATAAAAGAAAGTACATTCATAGGTTCACCGTATCCATCACCAGCGTTGATGAGCATCGACCCGCCTCTGCCAGTTGGGTCATAATAATCAACACTATTCCGCTTGTCCATCGTAGGTGACGACACTAGATTGGATATCACCGCTAGATATGGCATCACATAACCAAGTAGCGCATTCATAAAATACATGGATGATGAAGAGCGTCAATTCTTGTGTGTGATTCAAGGGGAAGAGGATATAACTTAACATCCCACACGTATGGTACCTCATGGATTTTATACGCACTGACTCGAAGGTGGGAATGACCGTGACATGCGCAAAAAATGCAGCCGGTTCCGAACCTGCAATTATACTATAGAACCGCATATAATCGCGGTGCTGTCGGAATCCTATAAACCAGTGATTTGTGCACACGTGCATTTAGTATTTCAATAGATCCAAAAATAAGATCCAAGCATTTGTTTCGATGCCTGTCCCATAATCGTGACGGGCGACGGCTTGGATGTAGCAGGAGACAGATGGGCGACAGCTTGGGAATCCAAGTTTGTGGTGGGATTGACTCCGATTGAGGACGTACCTGTGCTAAAAAGGGCATTCAAACTTTGGAGCTGGTGTCGAGTTACGAGTATTTGATAGGATGGTGAATCCACGAAGGAAGATCTCTTCAATGATCAATGAGCAATCAATGAGATGTGGATCACAGTGCACGGCGATGCCGATAATTAGGCGCATGGAAAACTCGAGCATTCGACATGTTGCCAACTCAACATCAGTTGATATTCATGCGGTTAATTTGAAGATCCTTCATAACAATCATACCCGGTGAACATCGGAGCTCACCTAGCCGGTAGTCCAACCATAGGTGCGCGGTGATTACTGGTAGGTCCCGGCAGCGTTCCACACCTAATCTAGCGGAACGTCGGATCCCAGGCCTGCAATTTTATACTGTCGTCACTTCATGTACTGTTGCTGTCGACGATAACACACGTCACAGTGAACTGGCAGTGCTCTGCTGGTGACCGGTCAGCGCTCAGCGACCGTGACGGTCGTTCAATGAACGCAAAGGGTGGGAAAGCCGATGACCGTCGGCAAAGTCCACTTCCATCGCTGAAATTCACTTGGCCTGATATGAGTTGAGTTATATTGTCCTTTCAGCTAAATTTTTTTGGCCATGATATACAGTTGTAGTGACTTGTGGGACTCACAGGGCCATCTAAAAATTTGACTTGGTGGAAATATAGTTTGAAACTCTTGCAAGACTCTCATTAGTGTTGCCGTGACTCCGACTTGCCGCCGGCTCAAACCATAACCGGTAGCCCGGCTTAGCCGGACCGACCAGAAGTCGCAGTTCCTGATTTGGCAGTTAAGCTGCAGTTCATAGTTTCGAGTTGGTCAACTGTTACTGATCTTGACAATGAACATTTTCCACCATTCAATGAACATTGAACATTGACTACTCACAGTGTTGGATATCAAACCTAGTGCTGCCATCAAGAGGTGTGCATTCCCAAAATCCTGAACACAGAGCTCGACTTTAGATAAGCAAAAAAACCTTAATACATAGCCACATGAAGTTATGAGCAACACATTTTGAGTTCCTCGTCAGCGGTCTCAAATCATCGTAAAATCGTTTGGCGAGTACTGTAAAGGGGGTGTTTTTACTACTGTAGAATAGATCTAGATAGTTATTCTAATGAAACACGAGCATGTAAAGATGGTACCTGCTAAATGTCAGATCTTGGATGTGATTTTCGAGAACACGTGACTAATAATTAATATCAATATGATGCGTCAATATCGATTTGACGCGTCTTGTCAACGACTCGCATCTCTCTCTCCTTAAACCTCATTCATTATGTATTCTACAACTCATAAATTTACACGTTACGACTCATGGTTTGCTTCTAGTAATAACGACGACAATGCTGCATACATCATGGACTTCGAGGACAATTCCTATCAAACAACACATATCAGATCAAGTCATCATTCACATTATTCTAATACATCATCGGGACATTCACAGACACAGACTATAGACTTTCAAGTACCATCACACATGGACAATCATTTGCATAGTTCATCTTGTAGCATACTTGACTATACCTCACTTAATTCTCGCTCTCTGAGTCGACAATCCTCAACCGACGGCCAATCATCAAATACGTCTTCAGTAAGACTCATTGGCAACCTTCCTACATTCCTCTGGGCAAAATTGGCAAGGAGAATGTGCCTCTGTTAGTTTCTCGTGGATCAAAATGCACTGGAGCACAAGCTGGTCCATCCTGTCCGTCAAAGAAGGCCCGAATGACCATTGGAACTGCTGTTTCTGTACTGAGTGCTTGATTACTTACTTTACACACCTATTCTAGTCACATACGTACTTGTTTTCACGCTGCAGCTGTCTATTTTGCTTTGCAATAGTTGAATTGATTCATTTTGACTTGACATTGTACGATGAACAACTACCTAATATGGCTAAATTACATGATCGGTAACACTGTCATCATGCTGTCACGGTAGGCGTAGGGGGTACCCAAGTTACGACAGGTTAGTGTCTTGAACTACTCGATCCCACACCTCTTGGCTGCCATGGTCCGGTTCCAAACTGCGGTTCGAACCGGACCATTGGTCAGGTTCAACCATGGTCCGGTCCATGGTTCCAAATATTGGCCAAACTGGACTGATATGAGGTTCGTGGTCCGCTGTCCCCCGAAAGGTTTGAACACAGGTTCGGACCTTCCCGAACCATTCCGAATCCCATTCCAAAGCCTTCCTTGTGATATTGATGAGGCACACTCATGGTCACTTTGACTTTGACTTCTACCCCCATGGTCTCATTGACTTCTGGGATCCTTGAGATTCGCACTGACATTGGATTCTGTCTGGAGGCTTGCATCCCGCACCCCCGGTTGTCAAACCAAGCCCAAGGCATGAATTAACTCTTATATCAAGTGCAATAAACTCAATAAACTAATTGATATATTACACTGATATAATTTCTAGGATTCGCCAATGCATACACCTTTGGAAATTGGTTGTTTACCAAATTTAGTTTGTTCATGCATAAAAGGAGCCAGGACCACAAGGTGAGTGATATTTTCACTTGTATAATGTCTCAATCTGACACATGTGCCCTCAATGCCAATGATTCTCTTAAGGACACCCAGGATATTATTTTTTCCAATGATCCAGACGATACTGTCCCACTCTCCTCTGCTCAGGCAGCCCAGGCAACATCTTCTACTACTCCTGCAGGCTCAGACACATTCTCCATGTTACTGAAGGCTGGGCACAAACCAGCGCCACTTACTGCAGGTGCTCAATGCTCCATTCACACATCTAAGCCCTCTGCTCACCTCTGTGATGCTGACAATGCTTGTTCTCACCCAGTGTCCTCAACCCGCAAATGTGCATTATCTTCTAGTGTGACCGAGCAACTAGTCAAGAAAAAGGTAGCATTGCAGCTCTCAGCCCCATTATCTGATGATGATGGCTCCTCTTACATGGCTGGTGCCAATATGGATAATGATACTGATCCTGGTGCTGAGGATAAAGACACACCTGATGTTACGCACTCAAATAGATCTGTTAGGCGGAGCTCTAAGAGGGGCGTCATCCGCTAACATTTGTGATGTAACCGGAAGGATCCGGTGTAGCGACTGAGACTGGCGACGTCGAGTCAGCAGATATCAGAGACGCATGTGTCACGTGACTTCTAAGATGGATGTCTTCAAAGTCACCGACATTCTCAAAGTAAGGACTATCTTGTCCGAACAATGAGTAGTCAATTGAGGTAGACTTAGGCACGATGAGCACCTAAGAAAAGATACTAGAGACTGAAGCTGAGGGGGCTTCAGAGGGAAGTATGTTTGAGGGAAGATTGAGTAGATTCAAGTTAGAGAATCTAGTACAAGGTGACCGACTACTTATACTAAGTGGAAAGGGTTAAAAGCAAGGCTACTGTACTGTAGGTAAGGGCAAAGGGGAAATGGAAAGGGTATAGGTACAATGGTAGCATAGCCTGATTAGTGATGGGAGGTCGAATGCGGAATGAGACTGAGAAACGTTGGAATGAGCCAACAGTAAGAGATACAATGCGCAGCACGCATGAGTCAGATAAGAGATAAGAGCAGATAAGGAAAGCCACATTGGTGGCACGAGTCAAGACAAGTCATAGCCCGAAGGCACATGTGCACATTGGTGCGATAATAGGGAAACAAGGGATGGGAATGGTCCTGAGGATCTGGTCAATGGATAGTCGGTAAGGGAGTGCGAGCCAGAGGCAGGTGAGGATGAGGATGAAGGGGAAAATGATAGGGGGGCCAAGTAGCCAATGTTACTTGTAACACCTGAATATAAAGACGCACCTGAAGATGATGACGATGGACTCAATGCACTGACACCTGAAATCACCCGCACCACTCTGTCAAAGAGTGAGTGTGTTGCTGATGTTCGCACCGTCTTTACTCATGATGGAAATACATGGATATGCAAACCTTGCAAGTACATATTTAGGTCTATGACTCTACATGTGTGGTTACTTAAAGCACTAATGTTTGTCAAGGATTCTGGTGAGCTCGAAAGCAAATACACATTTCGGAGAGGTATATCCACAGTCCGCATGCATATCTGTCAGTATGTTTGCATCTTCTGTCTCTTGAATATTTATTAATATCTATCAGGAATAAAAACCATTTTCAACTGTACAAAGTGTGCTGTGAAGCCGCGGGCATCACCATGCACCCTTGAGCAGTTCCAACTGACAAGGATAAATGCCTGTAAGTATGGTGTATCAATTTGTGTTACGTGTTGTGCTGATTCATGGATAGTTCAAAACAATCTACCTTTGACAACATCCTTGTCCCCAAAGCACCTATGTTTACCAAGGCAGGGCTTCTTGAGTACATTGTAGAGCTTATTGTGACAGAAGACGAGGTGCTGCAGCTGGTCGACAAACCAGCCTTCCGAAACTTACTTCACTATGTTCGCCCTGGGCTTACTGAATGTGACATTCCTCATCGCACCAAGCTCACTGTTACAATCACTCTACTTCCTTTACTTCTCGCGTATCTGCCATTATGCCCTACATTTTCCTAAGCGACTTAACTTTCCTTTCTTGGCCTTACTTCCGTATTCGACTCTTGTACTATTATCTCACCATAGCCCTTGGTCCGTGCGCATATAGTTTCCTATTTAAGCACGTGTACTTTACTTAGGAACGTCACTTCAATCTTACTAGGTTTTACCCTGAAAACTTCTTCGCTTAAGACCACCAATCTTAAGACGTCAGAATCGATCTCTTAGTCAAAGCACTCCTTTGACTAAGTCTATGAACCTCTTCTTATCTGAAGAGCTATACAGATCTCAACAACGAGAACGCTCTGTCGAGCCTTTGTTGTTAAGAACTATCCTAGTTCGTAACAAAAGATTGAAGTCAAGAAAGACATCTATATCCATACGTGTCAAAGAAACTTCAAAACCAGAACGGATCCTGACTGAGCAAGACAGCTAGTGCAGGCGAAGAAAAAGTCGACAATCTGACTTCACTCACCCCTACCTTCCAAGCCCTGAACCTTGGTACTCCTGTACCACCATTGAACATGTCGGCCTCATCCAAGATAACAGAATTCAAGATCAACCATCCTCCTACATTCGATGGCGACAGAGACAAGTCCAAGTCATTCATGCTCTCATGCAATGCTTACATTGATATCAACTCGGAAATCTATAAAACCGACGCTCAGAAGGTGATCTTCATCTCCTCGTTCATGAACGAAGGAAATGCTAGGTCATGGAAAGAAGAATTCCTCGCAGAGGCCCAATTCATCGACTCAACCGGACAAAAGAAGGGCTATGGAACCTTGAAAGAATTTAACGAAAGCTTTGACAAAGCCTTCGGACCGATTGACCCATCTGGGACCGCGTTGGCACGACTCCTGGAACTAAGACAAGGTCCAGAAGGCCTGCAGACGTACATTGCAGACTTCCAAAGGTTGCTTACCCAAGCAAAAATCAAAGAAGAACATATGAAGATCTATCATTTCGAGAACGGCCTCAACGGAGGACTTCTAACCAAGATGTTCAACGCAGGAGGGGTACCCAAGAGCCTTGACGACTACATCGCTGCAGTAGTCGATCTGGATAATTGCTACGCAAGATTGTTAGCTCGGAGAAATAGGTTTCCCTCGCGACAAATCCAGAAGAAGAGCGGTCGCGGAGATCAAAGATACATCCCTGCTAGAGATAGGGATGCCATGGTTATTGATCGGATCACCGACGAAGCCAAACAAGAATACATGAGGACGGGAAAATGTTTCAACTGTCACCAGATCGGACATCGGGCACGGGAATGTCCGCAGAAGAAGAAAGCCCCCTACCCAGCAGTGAGGAAGGTAGAGGAAGAAGAAGCTAGGAGAATTGACGAGGATTTTTAAACCGGAGACCTATATCGACGATAGCATCTCCAGCAAAACTTGTACGCCTAATACGAACAGTTGGTGAAAAAAAAGAACTTCATGTCCCCATCACCCTCGTATCCCGAACGCGTCAGAAAAACGTCGAAACCACCGCAGTAATTGACTCCGGAGCATCAGGGACCTACATCTCCGAGGACTTCGTAAAGAAGCATAACATCGGAACCAAGAAACTCGAAAACCCTTTTTACATTAAAACCGCCGATGGAAGCTACTTCAGTAGCGGACCGGTAGAACGGTATTGCATGCTGATCGTCCAAATCGACCAAAGGATGATGATAGGAAAATTCAACATCACCAAACTAGGAAAAAAGGACCAGATCCTACTAGGGATCCCCTGGCTTCGAGCCATGAACCCCGCTATAGACTGGACCAAACAGATGGTATCCCTTCCGGCAACAGAAAAATCTGCCGAAATCGAAAAATATGTCAAGCAAACCTCTCGACCACAGAAAACCTTCTTCACTAAGAAATTCAATACAAAAGAAGACGTTTGGAGTACGTCACCATCATCTCTAACCGAACTTACGGATGAAGGAGAATATCTCCGACAAATCGAAGAGTCATCCAAGTTTAGTAACAAAGCACAGGAGTTCGCCTCAGAAGAAAAAGAAAAGAAGAAAAAAACCTTTGAAGAATTGGTACCGGAGTATCTCCATGATTTCTCTGACGTATTTGCAAAAAACGGCTTGAACGAACTACCCCCCAAGAGACCCGGTATCGACCATCGGATCGAAACGAAGCCCGGATTTATTCCCAAAACGTCCAAAATCTACCCCCTTTCCTACAACGAACGAAACACAGTAAAGAGATTTATTGAGGAAAATCTTGCCAAAGGGTTCATCACGAAATCTAAATCCCCTCAAGCAAGCGGATTCTTTTTCGTAGGAAAGAAAAGCGGAGAACTCAGACCATGCCAGGACTATCGCTTCTTGAATGACCAGACTATCAAAAACGCGTATCCCCTGCCACTCCCATCATCTTTGGTTGAACAGTTACATGGCGCAAAAATATTCACAAAAATTGATATTCGATCCGGATACAATAACATTCGGATTCATCCGGATGACAGGTGGAAAGCCGCGTTCATCACGGAAGAAGGACTTTTTGAACCCACGGTCATGTTCTTCGGATTATGCAATTCCCCCGCCACTTTCCAAGCGTATATGAACGATACATTCAGAGCTGAACTCAACGAAGGATGGCTCGTCATTTACATGGACGATATGCTCATCTTCTCCGAAACAACCACCGAACACCAACAACGAACCTGCATTATTCTAGACAAACTTCGAAAAGAAAAGTTATTTGTCAAACCGGAGAAATGCATGTTCGACGCGGAGGAAGTAGAATACCTTGGAATGATTATCAAACCAGGAAGTGTAGAAATGGATAAAGGAAAGACGGCAGGCATCAAGGACTGGCCCATCCCTGAAACAGTTAAAGATGTTCGATCCTTTTTGGGTTTTTGTAACTTCTACTGAACCTTCGTTTCCCACTACTCGGATATCGCTCGACCCCTTATCGACCTAACAAAGAAGAATGTCTCGTTCTCTTGGATGCCCCTGTGCCAGCAAATGTTCGAGAAGCTCAAAGAATGCTTCACTTCACACCCTGTTCTTCAGAACCCTGACCCCCACCATCAATTCGCCATCGCTACGGATGCTTCTCTTGTCGCGTCAGGAGGGGTATTGCTGCAAACTGACACCAATGGCGTTTATCACCCGTGTGCATACCTATCGCAGTCATTCAGTCCTGCTGAAAGGAATTACCCCATTCATGATCGCGAGCTGTTAGCTATTATCCGCGCCCTCACCCATTGGCGACACTACCTCGAAGGACATCCACAACCGGTCATTGTGTTTACTGATCATATGAACCTCCTCTATTTCGCGAAAGCAGAACGCCTATCCAGAAGGCAGGCTAGATGGCAACTACTCCTCACTTCTTTCGACTTAAAATTATATCACGTTCCCGGTACAAAATTAGCAGTTCCGGATGCCCTTTCTCGCCGGCCGGACCACGGCGACGGATCGGGAGATAATGCCGATGCCGTCCTCCTCCCTGATTCCATGTTTATCTGCCTAATCGACGATGAATTACGAGCAGCTATTGCTTCCACCGCACCCCTTGACGACCCCCTCTTCTCTGCCGCGCAAGATGCCCTTAATGGCCTATGTTTGCCTCCTATGAAATCATCACTTAGCGACTGGTGTATCGCCGATGATATTCTGTTCTACAAAAATAGAGCTTATATTCCTCCCGCGCACCGACCACAGTTGCTACGGAAGCATCATGATCACCCTTCTGCTGGGCATCCCGGACGTTTTAAAACCGAAGAACTCGTCAAGCGGGAAGCTTGGTGGCCCAGTATGGGCACCTATATCCGCCATTACGTCGATGGCTGCGCTACTTGCCAACAGATGAAGGTGGACACTCACCCTGTGACTCCACCCCTACACCCTATCAGCACTATGGCTACTCGCCCCTTTTCCCAGATCTCCGTCGATCTCATTACTGATCTGCCCGTTTCCTCTGGCTTTGATAGTGTCATGGTCGTGGTAGACCACGGGCTTAGTAAGGGGGTGATCATTACTCCCTGCCATAAAACAATTACCTCGGAAGGAGTGGCGAAGCTATTTTTAAAACACGTTTTCAAAAGATTTGGTCTCCATGACAAAGTAATCTCCGATCGTGGACCACAGTTCTTATCCAGATTCTCGATCGAACTTGCACGACTCCTAGATTATTCTTTAGCCCCCTCCACTGCCTACCACCCACAAACCGACGGACAGACCGAACGATTAAACCAGGAACTCGAAACGTATCTTCGAATGTATTGCCAGAACAATCCTTCTGAATGGGTGGAACATCTCCCTATGGCAGAATTTGTTCACAATCACAGAAGACACTCCGCCAAGGATGCATCCCCTTTCTTTATCATGATGGGATACGAGCCGAAAGCTCTCCCATACTTACTTCCGGAATCAGACGTTCCCGCTGCTGAGGAACGAGTCAGAACTCTTCAAAAGATAAGAGAAGAAGCCGTCTCCTGCCATAACATTGCTATGCAACGCATGGCGGAAAGATCCTTCGGACAGAAGTACGAACCATGGAAAGTCGGAGATAAGGTATGGTTGTCAGCTGCCAATCTAAGACTAAAGCTCCCATCCCGGAAACTGGCACCCAAGAGATACGGCCCGTTCACTATCACGGCCGTGCTATCCCCTATCACATTTACGCTCCAATTACCGCCGCAATGGAGGATCCACCCTACGTTCCACGCTTCGCAGCTATCCTCCTATCACGAAAATGACGTACACGGTCCGAATTTTCTAGAACCACCACCTGATGTTCTTGAAGAAGAAGAAGAATATGAAATAGAAGCAATCCTCGCACATAAAGGAAATGGAAATCGCCGTCGATATCTCGTATCGTGGAAAGGGTATTCTTCGGCTAGCAACGAGTAGATCCCCGAAAAGAATCTGGAAAATGCCGAAGAGACCCTTAGAGCCTATAAAGCCAGAAGCGCGATTTGAAATCACGCAATACCTCGACGACATCGTTTTCACCCAGATACAAGACCTGCAACCGATATGCCATTCCCCACATCTACCTATACACTCCCCTACCACTCTACCTTCGAAACTACCACCCTCGACTCCAACGATGAACGATACGAAACCTTCATCACCCAAGCTGAAGACCTCACCCTCATCGAGGCAGCACTCCTCTGCCCCCAACACGCTATTGAGCTCACTAGAGTTCTCTTCGGAAGAAACGCCCACTCTATCAACCTCCTTATCAACATCATCCGAGCCACTGAAATCATCGAGCGAGTCTGCCGCCTCGTCGAAGACAACACAGTTCACCACAGCCTCATGCATATGCAGAGGCGCATACGCAACTTTGCTTTGCGTCTTATTCCTGAGGAAGTTAAAGATGATATTAGAACAGTCATCCACATCGTCGCAGAACAAACCGCAGGAGTTGCTCGCCCACCTTCTCCTACGAACCCCACAACCACAGATGGAGCTCCTCCTCCCTCTTATCAAGACGCCGTACCTACTCTTCCCGCTAACATTCCTAATGAGCTATTGGCTGCGGTCAATAATCTTGCGCAGACAACGGAAGCCATAATGGCGTCTCTAAGAGAAGAAAATCCCCAAGCAATTCCCGTCCCCGCTCCCGCCGTAGAAACCATCGAACACCCTCCCCATCTTTATACTGCGTTTTCCGCCACCCGCGAAGAAATCGCCGCTAACCCAAACCACCAGTACCTCTCGCACTACGAGGTGCAAGATCTAGCCGACGCACTGGCTACACTCCATATTCATCCCCCGCTCGTCATCCCGAACTCATTATCTTCGCATACCTTTACGGATGGGATCGTACCGATACAAGCGTTGGGAAGAACCCAACCAGCCACTCCCGCTGAGCTAATCGCGGAGGCAGAGCGACAAGATGTCGCCGTCCACCATCCTATACAACGAACCGCCCCGTCCAGAAAGAGAGTACGAGGCCAGCGTTCCCGTACTGATAAGGGGAAGAAACGCGCTACCAGCGCAGATGAAGCACTTAGCCCTAAACCGGGTCCATCGCCCTTACGAGCGACCTCCTCTAACCCCGATGAGAATCGTGTTTGCAGATACTGCAAAACGCTCGGGCATAGGCAAGTTCATTGTCCCGAATACTACTGCCGTGTCTGTCGAGAATTATCTCCAGGCCATCTTTCACTCTACTGCCCGCACTACACTGGGGAATCCCCCACTTCCTTAACCTGGAAGGACGATGGATTTTACCGAGTACTCGCACTCTGGGAGAATGATTTGGATGACGCATATGCCGCCCAATGCAGGGAAGAAGAAGCGCTCTATGAGCTAGAACGCATGAAGGCCGGACCAGACGAAGGTCCAGATGCCCTAGATTACTCGGATGATCCCATCTACTATGCTAACCAGGATGATTGAATCCGGTGGCTTCAACCCTAGTGAGGGGGTAATGTTACAATCACTCTACTTCCTTTACTTCTCGCGTATCTGCCATTATGCCCTACATTTTCCTAAGCGACTTAACTTTCCTTTCTTGGCCTTACTTCCGTATTCGACTCTTGTACTATTATCTCACCATAGCCCTTGGTCCGTGCGCATATAGTTTCCTATTTAAGCACATGTACTTTACTTAGGAACGTCACTTCAATCTTACTAGGTTTTACCCTGAAAACTTCTTCGCTTAAGACCACCAATCTTAAGACGTCAGAATCGATCTCTTAGTCAAAGCACTCCTTTGACTAAGTCTATGAACCTCTTCTTATCTGAAGAGCTATACAGATCTCAACAACGAGAACGCTCTGTCGAGCCTTTGTTGTTAAGAACTATCCTAGTTCGTAACACTCACTGAGACCATTGAGGAACACACAGAGGCCATAGTCAGCATCATATGCGAGCATCTCGCAAATGTGGACAGTCAAGTCTCCATGACTTTTGACTCCTGGACTTCGATCATTGGTGACCCTTTCTTCTGCATCACAGGTCATTATATCTGGAGCCCGGATGACAAACATCAACAATGGGAATTACGCTGCAAGCAACTTAGTTTTGACCACATCCAGGGCAATCATAGTGGCCAGAATACTGCTCGCTTGATTATCAACACCATCAACATGTACAATCTACGAGATAAGGTAAAGTTTAGTCTACTACTATCCTGTGCTGAATCTAATCAGTGTTGTAGGTTGGATAGATGACCTCCGATAACGCCACCAACAATGATACTGCCATGAAAGAAGTCGCGCGTGAAATCGATCCAGAAGGTACCTGGTGGGCACCTGATGCGGCGCGCATCAGGTGCCAGGAACATATACTAAACTTGGCCACACAACACTTCGTTGATGCTGTTGCACCCACTCCTCAAGCTGCCCTGATGAAGAAGGTTCATCAGGCACTTGATGGCGGTGATGATGCCCATCTCAATACCTTAACCAATGAGCTTTCTGCCATGGACGTTAATGACAAGAATGACGACAACAATAGCTTGTGATTTGCTTGGCAAAGCTCTTGCCCTCATCGAGCAGGTATGTGCTATTGTTATTAAACTATTCTTTTTGCTGATTGAGAACCTCAGATCCGAAAGTCCCCTCAAGCTTGTGTGTGTTTCCAAAAGACCTGCAAAGAAGAGAATATACCTGAACTCGAGTTGTTGTTGCAGTGGATCAGGACTTGCTGGGCTTCGCTATATAAATGCCTAGACCGCTTGTTGCTCTTGCACTGAGTGAGTTTTTTTCTTTCAATATTTAAAAGTGCTCTCATGTATATAATTAAATAGGCCGTAAACCATTTCACAAACCTTGCTGATGAAAGCAAAGAAGTCCCAACTCTTCACAACAAGTCTTACGAGGACTTTAAGCTCGATTGTAGCGATTGGAAACACCTTGCGCTCGTTCATCAAGTCCTTGAGGAACTGGCAATGGCACAGCAATCATTCTCATCAGCAAAACATCCTATCACATGGAAAATGATCCCTACACTAGAGTGCCTTGCTGATTGATGGAGATCCATGGCACTTGATCCGTAATATGCACCGATCGCTGATGCAATTAAGCAAGGACTCAAGAACATCGACAAGTACTTCAAGAAAACAAGTCAATCGGATGTGTATTTCATCTGTCTTGGTGAGTACTATTGCTTTTTATATTATTCATGATTATATCTAATATAACTATTTAAGTTCTTGATCCAAACTATAAGCTCGCATACATTGAAGGTCAGTGGGATGCTCAAGATGTTGCAGATGGCAGGGATTGCCTGGAGGCTGTGTTTGATGACTATTATACCCCACTGAGTCATATGCCTACCAGAGAGCAATCTGCTCTGCCGACAAAACTTGTACGCAAGCACTACAGTGATGATTGGATGTGCGAGGTTATTAAGGCACGTCAAACGACCGACCATCTTACTCACAATCCTCAGCAGGAGCTCAACTTATACTTGTCTGCGCTGCTAGAGGAGACAGATGATATTGTGGCCTGGTGGGGGTAAGTGATCTTTTTGATGCATTTTTGTGCTACTAAATCTATTTATTAGATTCACTTGCTGCAATACCCTACACTTGCACGCATTGCACGAGACTATCTACCCATTCAAGGCAGTTCTGTGCCCTCCAAACAGGTATTCTCCAGCAGAGGAATCACTTCTACTGTGTGACACAATACACTCATGACTTCAACATTTACAGTGTTACAATTACTGAAGGGGAGCCCCTTCAGTGACAAATTCCGTATTATATGGGCCACCCGACCTCCATAATATCCCGTATGAGACGGGCCAGCTGATCATGGGCCCATGTTGTGTATATTCTCGATGATGACGGATGGGCCGGGACTCATATTATTTCCGATGGAGACGGGTGGGCCCATGTATGCCAATGATATATATATCCTTAATGTTGACGGATGGGCCGGGGGAATATGATCATTCATGGAGATGGGTGGGCCCATCTGGGTAATATGTAGAGTAGGATATTATAGACAGCTGGGCTGAAGAGAGATGTAAGGCAAATATTGTTATATAGACGGGCGGGCCGACGTGGGTGTATTACATATATGGGTGGGCCGAGGTAGGGGAATATTACATAGACGGGTGGGCTGACGTAGGGTGTATTACATATACAGGTGGGCCGACGTGGAATGTATTACATATACGGGTGGGCCGACGAAAGAGATATCAAATAGACCGGTGGGCCGAGGGTGCTATAAAATATTTATTACATAGACAGGTGGGCCGAGGTGGGGTATAATTATATAGACGGGTGGGCCGATGTAGGATGTATTATATAGACGGGTGGGCCAACATAGGATGTATCACATAGACGGGTGGGCCGACGTGGGGGATAATACATAGACGGGCGAGCCGACGGGGGTGTATTACATATATGGGTGAGCCTAGATATGTTCCATCAAGACATACAGCTGATGTAGCCACCAGCGAATCAAACACATAGGATACATGTACACTATCAGTGCATATACCTACCATCAACCACCAAATCTAAACCCCTAAGCACAAAAACATGAATCTATCATGTGTGGCATTGACCAATAATCCAGGACTGAAGTGGAAAAACCCCACACCTGAACCCTGGTGTGCAACAAATCCTATTTCTAAGCATGGACACCAGAAGCACAACACTCACAAAAATATATATGTCAAATTTTCAGTGCCAAACCCCAAACCGAGATGTACCAACCCCCGAACCCTGAAACCCGAGAGTGCCGGGTCTCGGGTCTCGGGTGTCCGGAACTCGGAACTTGGGAGAATTTGGGGAGATCAATACAATTTAATTTACAATCGAGTTGATTGACAACACATTGACTTACCCATGTTTTGCAATATATTTTTGTGTAGACATACCGAGTTCCGAGTTCCGGACACCGGAGACCCGAGACCCGAGACTGCCGGGTCTCGGGTGTCCGGAACTCGGAACTGGGGAAAATTTGGGGAGATCAATACAATTTGATTCACAATCAAGTTGATTGACAACACATTGAATTAACTATGTTTGCAATATATATTTTTTTTAGACATACCGAGTTCCGAGTTCCGGACACCGGAGACCCGAGACCCGAGACTGCCGGGTCTCGGGTGTCCGGAACTCGGAACTGGGGAAAATTTGGGGAGATCAATACAATTTGATTCACAATCAAGTTGATTGACAACACATTGAATTAACTATGTTTGCAATATATTTTTTTTTAGACATACCGAGTTCCGAGTTCCGGACACCCGAGACCTGAGACCCGGCAGTCTCGGGTCTCGGAACTCGGTATGTCTAAACAAAAATATATTGCAAACATAGTTAATTCAATGTGTTATCAATCAACTTGATTGTGAATCAAATTGTATTGATCTCCCCAAATTTTCCCCAGTTCTGAGTTCCGGACACCCAAGACCCGGCAGTCTCGGGTCTCGGGTCTCCGGTGTCCGGAACTCGGAACTCGGTATGTCTAAACAAAAATATATTGCAAAACATGGGTAAGTCAATGTGTTGTCAATCAACTCGATTGTAAATTAAATTGTATTGATCTCCCCAAATTCTCCCAAGTTCCGAGTTCCGGACACCCGATACCCGAGACCCGGCACTCTCGGGTTTCGGGGTTCGGGGGTTGGTACATCTCGGTTTGGGGTTTGGGGGTTAGTAAAATGTTTACAGATATACATAGATTGATTTAAACATGTCTGGAAGATGTCGTTCGTCTAAAATGTCAAATCCTGAGTTCCAGGTGTCAGGACTCGGTACCCGGCACCCGGGACTCGGGGTTCGGCACTAATAATTTGACATTCGGGTGTTCGGGTTTTGGGTGATATCTACCTCAATCTGCAGTTTCGAGTTCTGGATATCGGGAGTGATCATTGAATGATTCAATTGTGGCATAGGTAACATGCATGGAAAAACATTTATGTACATCTATCACTGAGCAATTATGTAGCCATGTCAACCTCCTCACCAGGAAGATCAACCTTTCCCTCAACATCCATCTCCTCATCAGAAGAATCATATTCTGGCAGGAGGTTACCTGGTTCATTAGGGACCACAATATCGCCGGGCGATTCTGGCAGGAGGTTGCCTGGTTCATCAGGGAGATCAATTTCGCCAGAGGATTGTGGACCCTCAGGCTGAACTTGGGTGGGCTCAACCATGGGACCTACCACAGCAGATTCATGCTCAGGCGTCAAGGGTGTAGGTTGCATGACTGAAAAGTCCAAATCAATGAGGTTGGAAAGTGCGGAGGGGAGGGGTGACATGGACGGGGGGGGACCTCCTTGACCAAGCAACATTATTCCATCGGCCAGTGTGTCCGGAAGTGAAAATGAAGGGTGCCGGTCGACCACTGTGTGCCGGAGGCTCTCATGGAGGCGTTGCAGGGTATCAATCTTAGCGTCCTGCTCCTGCACCCGAGCCTCAAGAATAGCGATGCGAGCTGCACCATCCCGATGAAGGTACAACAATTCAGATGGTGAGTCTGAACAATGTTGGGTCTTGCAGAACCTAGCTGCTATTCGACCCTAAAGGGTTTCTGGACCAGGCTCAAGGCTCAGAGGAGAGGAAATATCATAGAAAACTACTGAGCACTCAGACTCATACTGGTAACTGGTGAAAAGATTGATTGCTTATGTAAGCTACAAAAGTGCCAACATAAGGTAAGGTAAAACAGTCTCTACAAGCCCAACCAGAAATGAATCCCTACATCTCATGGGAACTTTGAATCATGACTGTCCCCAGTCATCTACCTATGCAAACCAAAGCTAAGCTAAACTTAAGAAAACTAACCTGGGGGTCCTCAAACACCTTTTGTCTCCTTGACGCGTATGCCAGGTAAACTGCGCCAGTGAGTGAGGGTCAGGCAATGCAATAAAATGATAATCCCCAGACTTTGCTTTTAGTACTGGAGGAGCAGCGATGCTAAAGTGAAAAAAACGCGATGATGGTTGCATGGATGACGATGGGGAGTAGACGGATAGAAAGAGGCGAACGAGGGCTTCGAAATGAGTATAGGGTTGACTAGGTTTGGTGGAGAACTGAGTGAGAAACGAGGGAAATGGTGGAAAAGGGCGGAAAATGGGAGAAATGCGGATTGCGGAGGAATGCGCGGACGTATCGGGAAGCGGAGCGGATGGATGGAAAGCGCGGAAAAAATGCGGTCAGAACGCGCCTAAGGCGATGGGCGCGCGATCACAGGGCGACGAGATATAAGGAAGGCGCAAAAATGGGGCGAAAAATAGGGGGGAACGCGCAAATGCGAATAGCGAGCGAACGGCTGAGCGCGCGAAGGCGCGGATATGCGCGAATGAAAGCCATGAACGAGGGCTTCAAAACGGATATAGGGTCGATGGGGTTCTGATGCGAAATGGGCTGGTGAAAGTGCGAAAAAGTGCGGAGGTGCAAGAGGGAGGAGGAGGAAGGGGTATGGTGCAGGGCAACAAGGGCTGGTCCTATCAAAAAGCGGATTGGGGCAATGGACAGAGCCACTGAGGGATGGTAAATGGCCAAAAGAGCTAGATGAGACAGGCCTTTGAGCACCCAGAAAACCCTTATCTCCCCTCAACTTCTCAAAAACACAAAAAACTCAATATCTCCACAACTACTGCTCCAAATTGGATGAACCAGGGCTCAAAATGACCGGACGGACGTGGGGAATACGACTCTAAGTTTGCGAGAGATCCGCTTGAAAAACGCGTGGGAAAAACACCTATCAGTGCGCTGGGGAGGAGGACAAGATGCTGAAAACTGGGGATTATGGGAGAAGCTGGTAAGGAATGACTGTGGTTGGGTAATAGGCGAATTTGGGGGATGATTGGAGAGCTTGGAGAGCCTAGAAACACAAGAAACCCTCGCGGTGGGCTCCAGTTGAAGGTACAACAATTCAGATGGTGAGTCTGAACAATGTTGGGTCTTGCAGAACCTAGCTGCTATTCGACCCTAAAGGGTTTCTGGACCAGGCTCAAGGCTCAGAGGAGAGGAAATATCATAGAAAACTACTGAGCACTCAGACTCATACTGGTAACTGGTGAAAAGATTGATTGCTTATGTAAGCTACAAAAGTGCCAACATAAGGTAAGGTAAAACAGTCTCTACAAGCCCAACCAGAAATGAATCCCTACACCGAATCGCAATTGCCATGGAATGGAGATCCGGCATGGGAACATCGAGTGCTGCACGAGGCACTGCGACGCTGGAAGACCTGACTGCTAAGTAAAAAATTAGGTCAGCCGGTCATCAAAAGTATGGGTGACTTACCAGCTGGCGCAGGTGCAGGGACAGGTGCAGGGACAGGTGCAGGAACAGGTGCAGGTGCAGGTGCAGGTGCAGGTGTCTTCTTGGTAGTGATGGTCTTGCTGCGACCACGTGACTGCACCTGGGGTGTGGTTGCAGCAGGGATGGCCGGAGTTCGGGAAGGGCCATGAGATTGACTACGAGTTCGGGCCCTTGACCGGGAGGGAGATGGAGCATTGGATGGAGCAGGGGCAGGTGTCTTGGAACG